GGTAGCAGCGTACTCCCCAGGACCCTTGGTGTCTCAAGGTATGTCCAAACAATTGTAGGCGTCGATGGGAATAGACCTGAGAATGCAATTGAACCCGACGGGCAGCATAGGCGAGATCTGCAGGATAATTGTTGTTCTGCATCAGTGGGCTCTATGACCCTATAGATTAGGGGAATCTGCTTGTAATGGGTGTTGACCAGACGCACCAACTGAGCAGGCGTCAGTTGCACATATTTTCCATGGAGCACCGAAGAAGCGATTTAAAAATGGAGCGGTACACAATAAGCTTCCATGAGGGCGGAAGAAGCGAATGCGACATTAGGGCTTAGGGCTTAAGTTTTTCGAGGCAGACATGGCTTGTGAGATCCTATATTGCTTCATTAGTGACACCAGTATCATCCAGGTAGGCGCCTTGGTATTTGACCTCTGCGGACAAAGGAACGCAGGGCCCGCGCGGGCCAGAAGCTTGACAGTTTGGGCAGGAGCACAGGCACAGCGGATCTGGAGAGTGGCGCCCCCCCGCTCGTCACATGCTTTGGACCAATCAAGCAACAGGTTTGACGATCAAAAATTTCATTTCTAACAGACGGCGCAGTATGTCACGTAAAAGAATTCGTACGGGAGATGGGGCGATATTTAGAAAGGAGGCGAGTGTCCTTGTTGCGGTCTTTGACAAGCATTACTACTTCAGAAATAAGCCAACTAGAAGGTACTGCACCGGTATCAAAGCACTGCTTACTGCGGAGCAAGAGATACATCTTGAACCCAAGGGAGCGTGTCTATAAAGCTCTCCAGGGAGGTCATGATGAGGGCCTGTAGATTTCCCAGTTTTGAGCGAAGAGAGCTAGCTTCAGGTCGGTCATAGTAAAAGGTCGGTCCATGGACAGGTCAGTCTGGATCGGTTCGGGGGCGCCATATTCGGTTGGCGAGATAGTCAGCAGAAGTGAGGCACGCTTGTCTTTGCAAACCAGGGCACTATTCCTGGCAAAGAGGCCGGATTTGGCGCGTATGACGCCAGTGATTGGCATTACTACCAGGTTTTGCGAGATAAAGAGCTTCGTGTCTTTTCGAGCGCTCGTTTTACTGTTCTTACGATCTTGCTTTAATTGGGCTAGATGTGTATGCTCGGTCTGCTGGAAAGTATCAATTAGATACAGCGCGTGAGCGGAGATCCAAGGTTTCTCGGCAGAGAGTGGTAGATAGGGTATTAGAGGAAGAGATTCAGTCATCAACTTGGTGATAGATTCATCTTGGCCAAACATCAACATTGTAGCCCAGAAGCTGGGAGCAGGGGAGGTGGAGAATCGCCTAAGGCACAAATACCTTCTTTAGCCTGTCCATCAACGATTTTGTTACCGGGGATGCCAATATGAAAAGGAATTTCGACAGATCGATGTGGTATTGAACGCGGAGGGCGACGTAATATTGCTGGACAACAAGGTGGACCAATTGAGGGTGAGAAGCTGGAATCGAGCTACCCCAAAGGAGTATTTGTACTCTTGGAAAGATTCGTAACTCATGAGTAGTTCGTTGCAGTTGCAGTGCCTTGTCGCGCGGTGGCCTCGTTCGGAACGCTCATATCCAGACCATTCCTGAGCTTTTGAGTTTACCCTGCTTACACTCTAAGGAAACCAAGGAAACCATCACAAACCTTTATTCAATTTTACTCACTTAAATCAGACAGCTGAATTTCTTGATTGCTAAATTTGTGGAGACGCAGAGTGATGGTATCCGCCCTCGTTGATCAGCCAAGCTGGCCAAGCTTGCCAAAAACCAGTGTGCCAGGTCCAGTCTTGATTCTGGCAGTTGTAGGCACCATGCCCTGCAGTCCGGTGCCTGCTGTGCCGTTCGTGATGCCTCCTACTGGATGACTCCTGTCGAAAAGGAACAGCTTCGGAACTGGAACGAGCTGCTGTGGTAGTAGCATTGGCAGCCTGCCACATACACGTGCAAGGAAAGCTTGGCGACAAGTGGATACCCCTGAACCCCTACTTGAAAGGACCTGGAGGTGTACAGTCGTCAACAAGCAACGAAGGTAGCCATCATTTGTGCAAAATTGCAGGTGCTTCACTGCGGGGACTAGTGCAGGCATCTGGTGATTCTGTGACCAGTCCACCAAGATCACAATGCGGAGGGGAAGCAAGTGAAGCAGCAACCAACGACACTGTCGTAACAAATCAGCTGCCTCCGGGACAGGGCCGTTGCCACCCGGAAGGTCCGTATGATGCTCTACCTGGCACAAGCGGAGCGTTGAAATCTGTTTGTTTGTTTGGGCACCGTTGCTGATTCCTTAAGATCCCAGCAGTCAATACAGTAGGTGGTGTGTCAAGGCTGAATGCCATCAATGAAGCCAAGCTAGATTCAACAAGAGGTCGCAAGGTGCAGACTTCAGTGGCTGTCAAAGACTGCCGCGCGTGGGAAGATCATTCTGCGATCTTTCTACAGTTGCCCACCGTATCGAGTCCAAATAGCCCCTAGAACGACGTCCATCTCTGCTTCAACGTACTTTGCCCACATCTGCAGCTACAGAGCATTCATTGCCAAGATGCAAAAGAGTGAGATCCTTCTGCCTGTCAGCAGGTACATCGACCCCCCCGGCCGTGTCATCCCCCGCTCGAACCACACTCCTCCACCCAAAAGCCCCCATCTCTCAAGCCGCACTCCAGCCAGGCGCACCCTCCTTCTTTCTAAGGAGGAACCTGTTGGTTGTTTGCTGTGCTGGTTAAAGAGATTCTGGTGGTCGGTCTTAGGGCATCCCATCTATGCAATTTCCCGTGGAAGAAGGCAAGGCATAGCATTCGATTTGGTGCTTCGAGTGGGTAAAAAAATGGTTTTTGGATGTTGCTGGTTCTATGGCGGGTGCGAACAGGAGGTTGGTGCAATTCTGCTTCCGAAACAAAATTATACTCCAAACAAATGGCAGTACTAAGGGCTCAAACGCTACAGCAGGGCGTTGCAGATGAGGTTTCGGCCTTGAGCGTTTACTGCAGCATACAGCAACCTGAAAACCTCTTGAAATTAGATTTTACACACCCACATGACTTGTGACTGAAAGATATACGAGTCCTGGCCGAGCGGGGCCGGTGTCAACGCTGGGGTATTTGCACGTTGGGCGTTTGCACGTTGGGCTGTGTCGCAGTTTTTTGAGTCAAAGCTTCTCCATTTCACCGGCGGGGTTGCGGAATTTTTAAGACACAGGCCCGACGCCACGTGCTCAAGACAGCACGCTGTGGCACAGCCAACTGTGCTGTACCAGAATGTCGCCTTCGCAGCAAAATCGCAGGCGGGGAAAGCAGGCCAAAACCAAGATGTGGTTCCGAACGAGAGTTCTAAACGGCTCCGGAAAAAGCTGATAACACAAACCAAAGCTCACGGCCTCACTGGTCTGCAGAAGGAGTGCTTCCCAGCACACATTTCATCTACAGGCGATCACAGCGCCGCCTTACTGAGTGTCTGGGCCTCCCCCTGGCCTTCATCATTATTAAGGCAGCATTCCGGTACAACGCCTGGCTGTTTTTGCGGGCAACATTCGGCACAGTTGCCGGCCTTCTCATAAGCCTCCCCTGCCTGCTGATACTTGCAGCATTCCGTCGCCGGAGCCTTCATGGCCGGCTTATGCAAGCAACATTCCGTTACGGTTGCTTGTTTTGGCTTGCTTGTTACGGCATGTTACGGCAACATTCCGATACAGTTGCATTCCGGCCTGGCCTGCTTGTTCAGGCCCGCCTGAGCCTCCTTGACCGGTTTCTAAGGCACTGTTCCGGTACGGGTGCCCGCCTTTTGTCCTGAATGTTGTACTGCCTGAGAGCTGCACTGACAACCCCACTTTGCCGGTCGGGGAAAGCCGAGTGTAAACCAGGCACATGATCTAGCACTTAACTCCTGGCTGGTTGTAACATCCACGGCGGTCACGTGTCAAAGATCTAGTTCAATTACTATAAAATGACCCGTGACCGCCACAGAAACGGAGCACCAGCTAGCCGACAGTAGCAGCTAGTCGACCACATCTAACATCTCGAGCATGACCTGCTTCGCGTGTCAACCTGCTTGCTCGCATTTAACAGCACTCTTTGTAAAACGACCTGTCACTCAACTTGCCATGATACGCTTGTCTTCAAGCAGGGGCGCATGACAGCCTGTGAAGTCTGAGCTTTGACTTTCCATTGCCGGTCAGTGCGGGAAGGCATGCATGAGACCCCCAGACACACTTTTGAAGACTTTGGGATTACGAAACACATCGAAACACATGAGCTGACTCCAGCATGGCTACAGAGCAGCTACCAAAGCTGAGCTGCAGACTTGAAGCATAGATATGGATTACGCAGCCAGCTAGTCAGTCTTACCCTCAACTTTTGGTCTCGAATGCTCTGAAAATACTTGCACATGAATGCGGCTCCGCAGCACGCCCGGATGTGCTTGAGCACGATGCTCCCATGCTCTTCCTAAATCTGATCTGAGCGACAGCTGACAAGTGATGAGACTAGGCTCCCGCAATTACAAATTCGCGTTCGAGCTCCAGTCGAAGACATGAAACCTATTTGGGGACCACGGCATGATCCAAGTTTGCAAAGCATGGTGCAAAGCATGGTGCAAAGCACAGTGCAAAGCGTGGCACATGTCAGGACAAAGGAGACAGGTTCCCATATTGGGTTCCCTGAGACCAAGAAGCGACGGATTCCCCAGCATCTTCATTGCCATTCACACATGAGGTCTGAGGTCCGTTACTTGTCCATTCTCGCGGGAAAGTCTGCTGGACTTCAGCTGTGCAGGGGATTCCTTCACTATCGCACGATGATGCATTGCTGCACATCGTGAATTTCAGATTTGATCTGTGACCCTTTGGTCCTGCAGTTTTGTCATTAACACGCTTTAGGCAGAGCTCCGAGGATTTCAAGCAAAGTAAATGCCTAACCAAGTCCCACGCTGCAGCATGTCTTCCGTAGGGGGAGTCAAGAAATGCCAAGGATGCTCCGCATTTTCCATTTGCAGAAAATTCCTCCTCAGCTTTGTGGTAACACCTCGGTCATTGGTGCATTAACAGAAGCAGCACTCGCAGGCCGATGATGCAATCCTTTACTGGGATTAGAGAAGCTGATTGGAGAAGGCTGCCAGACTCACACGCTTCGGCCGTTTGGGCTTCCGCTTCAACTGCATTGACATGAATACGGAGCATGGTCGGTAAGTGCGAAAGAGATGAGAAATTGTAGCCGCAACAAGGCGATTTTGCTCGAGCGGGGATAAGCAGAGGATGCCTCAGGATGGAAAAATGAAAAACCAAGCTGGAGCGGAGGTTTAGTTCTGGCCTGGTATTTGTAGCTGTGCGTCTCATCACCACGCTCCCTCAGCACAACTGGGGCAGAAGGATGCGCAAATGTGCCGTGAAAGACAAAAATGCTAACGTCAAGACAGGACAGCTCTGTCCCCGGCGGAAAAAGACCAAAACCCGAATGGCGAGACGCCGGCACAGGCGGACTGACCAGTGCAGGAATAGTGCGTGAAAAAAGCATCATGCCATGAATAACATGTAGGCACAGGCAATCACGAGCATCGCTGCACCGAAGGGTCTCCAGAGATGTCGCTCTCATCGTCTTCATCACAAACCAGCACCTTGTCCAGCCCACAGGAGACGGCGGTTGAAGGCGACCCTTCCTCAAAAGCAACAGTGAGGCAAATGCACAAATGCACACCCCATCTTACGTAGTATTTTGCAAGCAGTGCCGACTAACGATCTAGTAACATGGTCTCCAAGCCTGGAATCTGGACCAGGGTCCGGCGTCAATGCGAAAGACCTGGCAGATATTTTCAGATACTGAAACGACTCTTCTCTCAGTCATCTCGTGCCTCACGGGTTCGTTCAGCAGGTCCACTGGAGCATGCCTTCTTCACTGCATTTCACTGCTGCTATTGCAAACACACGGATCAGAGTCTGAGCACAAACTTGGCCTAATGCCGAAAAACTCCGCGTAATTGCCAACGCTTTGCCAGACGTTTTGCCAGACAATGACACGGCACTCAAGCCGAGGAGATGTTGGATCATCGGGGAACAAGCTGGCCTCCTCGGTGGTCACTTCTTTGGGCAAGCATTGCTACGGTAAGTGCGAAGGCCATGATCGACCATGAGGAATAAGCCGCATTGGAGTATGGCTCAGGGACCAGGCCATTGATCGGAGAAGCCACGACACGGCCACACGGAGGTCATGTAGTTGCCTGCAGAGCGGAGCAGCACAAGGAGCTGCAAAAGCAAAAGCTCTGCTGCGAATGCCACAACTGGACTCACTGGCTTGATGCTTTGCTTCAAAAGAAGAAGGCTGAGCATCGGCTCGATGTGAAGTTGAACACAAAAGCTGAAAACAGCCTCTGGGGGCCTCTGAATGGAGTCAAAGTTTCTTGTGGAGTCACGCAGGAGGAGGGACAAGTCCAATGCCTCGTTCGAAAACCAGGCTGCCGGTCGCCACACACGTGCTTGCGACAAAACTCTTCGGCACGCCTTCGCTGGACCCTGCAGGCGAAGCCAGCCTCGCATCAACCTCCAAGCCAATCTCAGTTTCGCTGTAAGTATGACTCCTTTGCGACTTCGAAAAGACAGAGAACAGTCCAGTCGTGGACATGAATGAGATCAGGAACGGCTAGCTGAATGTGCCGACTGAATGCTCTCGGATAAGAACATGCTCCCTCGAGCATGCTTGAATCATCTGGTATGAGTTGCAACAACGGTCCACAATCAGAATTATCACCAATGCGGTAGTCGCACGATGAAGTCCTAACTGACATCCGAAAGAATGCATGATCCACGATGCGGCCACCAAAGATTTGGGCTTCGCTGGCTCGATGAAGCTACCACTTCAACGACAATCTTCAGCGACAATACATACACCCAACACAATGAAAATCGGCATTTTGCAAAGTAAGTCACTAAGTACATCTAGAAACACTGAGGATCGCACTCATCCGGCGTGACGCTACCGCTGTTGTCCGTGTCAATAAGCCTCAGGCCCGATTCACATTCATGTTGGCGTAGAAATTCGATTGACAGTATCCCGAAAATGACACCCCGTACACAATCCCCTGTCACGTGTCAGTATCCCCCCCCCCACGCCTAAAACCAAAACAACCCTGGCTGGACCTATACCCTAAGCCCGAAAACCCTAAACCCTCAACCCAAAAACCTGCAACCCCAACCAAACCCTAAAACCTTACAAACTCCAGGACTCTAGGAAAACCTACAAAACCTCGAAACCCAAAACCCCTAACCCTGAACCCCGAAACCCGAAACCTTAAAACCCGAAAAAAATCCTAAACCGCCCCCACCACAAGGACCAACGAGGGGGGCCCGGACCGAGGGGGTTGGGAGCGGGGCAGTGACTCTGCACCATACATACACTCACTCACCAATACTCACAAGGAACCATAATACAAACACCAAGAACAATATATAAACCCTACCCAAGGCATCATTCGAAATCGTGCACAGGGAAGCTAGCAAAATAACCGTCAGAGACAGGGGCTGCTTGGCAGGAAGTGGGTGCACTATTTTTGGCCCTTTTATTTTTTGTTTTTGGTTTTTTTTTTGGGGGGGGAGGGTTTAGGGTTTAGGATTTAGGGTTTAGGGTTTAGGGTTTAGGGTTTAGGGTTTAGGGTTTAGGGTTTAGGGTTTTGGGTTTAGGGTTTAGGGTTTAGGGTTTAGGGTTTAGGGTGTAGCAGTGGTCAGCTGTACGCAGTTGTGTGCAGACATGCCCACCCCAAGACCGCCCGAACACTACTCAAAACGAGCCAAACCAGAGCCAGCCAAACCAAAGCCAGCCCGCGTTCAAACATGTCTGCACTCTAAGACAGTATTTCGGACCAATAGCTAGGGTGCTTCCTCATGTCGTTGATTTTGCATGCCCTGCTGCATATTAATATGTGAGAGTGAATCAGAAGCTTCCGATGGAAAGAATAGAACTTGTGTTTGGGGACGTTTCTCATGAGAGGCATGACCGCTACAGTCGTGTCGCAAGATCTGAAACGGCTATGGCGGTAGCAAGCAAGCAATTTGCTGTCATCGCGGCTCACCGAGAACTGCGTGGGACTTATGCGGTGCAACACAAGGCGTCCACAGCGACATCAGTGATATGGCCAGCTCTTGAAGCCAAGTATGCGCACGTGCGCGCAGAAACCCTTTTCGTCGGGGCTGGGCTCGCAACATGAAAGCTCGGATGTCTTGCCTACCGCCTGTGCGCCCGGGCGCTTCACTTCTGTCCTCGGCGGACGCTGTCCAGGTACGACCGGCTTGATGCAGCCACCGAGGAGGTAGTCAGCGTCCCCGCGGACGCGTGAGAGGGCAACGTACCCGGCGGCCGGGCACCCAGGCCGATCCGGCCAGAACGTGACGTGGTGGAGTTCAGCCCCTTGATATTTGTGGACTGTGTCCGCGTACCCCAGCTTAACGGGGTAGTACGTGAGGCGGCCGCCCGGCACGTCATCGCTGGTTATGGGGTAGACACACAAGCGGTGCTCCGTCTCGGTTTCCACCAGTATTGAGCGCCGACGGGGTTCGAAGTCCAGTACCACCGCGGACACGCCGTTCACGAAGTCGTTGGGCTTGTCGACATTGCGTGTGAGGCGAAGGCGCAAGCCTCGATACAGGAACAGCGGCAAAGGCTCCGACAATTTGGCGAGCAAGTTCCCAGAGTCGTCATAGTTGTCGGGGTTGCTTTCGTAATCTGCGGCCACCTTTCCAAGCGCTGGGATGGCCGGCTGCACGAAGAGCACGTCCGAGCAGAGACCATTGACCAAAGCGGCCCTCGTCGTGCACAGGTGATCACGGTGGTCTGGTCATCCTCCTCGTCGGACGCGAGGGCGTCCGCCGGCCGCTTCTTCGAGGCGGGTTCGCAGCCTGACAAGGTTGCCCCGTGCCCTTGCCCTTCTGAAGACCGAAGGTTGGCGGCTCATCTGCATCATCGTCAGCCCAACCGGGCGTTGCAAGGAAGTCACGCTGTCGCTGAACTTCTTGCGGGTTCCATCGACCTTTTCCTTGTGGTAGGCGGCGACGAAGGCCCAGACCAGCGCCTCCGGGTCCTCTGGTGTCCGGAGCCATTGGTGGCAGGAGTCTGGCAGATTGTACTCAGTGCTGATGCTTCGCACACCGGTAGCCATCGCTTTCGGATTGTTCAAGGCAGCGAGTGCCTCCAGGCCTTCAAAAGCAAACAAATACAAACGGGCCGGAGAAGCGAACGAGGTGCTTGAAGATCATCTCCTTCTTCGAGGGATCCGTCTTGAAAAAACGCAAGAACCGCTTCACAGCCGCGACCGTTGCGGCTTCGGCGCGCTCCACCTCCATGTTCGCCGTGTTGAGGTATTGGCAGGCTTCGACGAACTTCCCGCCTTCCGGAGACTCCAGCAGGGCGAGGAAATCCGTGATGCCGAGTTTCTTCACGGCATCCGAATCTGGCCTGGCGAAGTGGTGCGTCAGAAGCTCCGAGCCGACCAGAAGATTGGCCGCGCCCTCGGAAAGGGCGATGCCTTGTCGGTGACTTCTCCTCCATGTTTCCCGTGGTAAACGGGCTCCCCGCCTGATCCACATAGGGCCGAAGGTAGTATTTCGACATCCTGTCGCCCCAAGGAACCTTGCGCACCCAATCTTTCTTGGTCGGAAGGCTCGAGCCCTTCTTGCCGCGGACGACACGCTGCTCGGGACAAGCAGGTTGCAGGATTCGCGAAAGCGGTGCTCGAAAAGGCTGAAGAGGTACAGACGCTTCAAGCAATGCTGATGGGTGCTGCTGCAGTCACGGAAGCTAGAAGTGCAAGCTGAAGGACAGCCCCTCCAGGAGCAAAGAGAACGAGGAGTTTTGCTGGCAGGCGTTCAAAAAACTTGATGGGCGTTGGGTCTTGCGTGAGCACTACAGCCATCTACAGCCTATACTATCAAAGCTAGCCTCAGTCGACGATGGCCGCGCCACCCACCACGACTCGACCTCCGACGCCAAGACGCCGATTGCGTCGCATATCTGTGCCCCCTGGGTGTTCCAAAGAGGACCCTCGGCGCTGTCCACGCTGCGTGCCATGTCTTGCAGACGGTCGAAGTGTCCCAGGACGACGCCGGGCACGCGCGACAGCAGCTCAGCCACGGTCCCGTGTGGAACTGTCCCACAGGGATCAGCGCGCAAGTGCTCTGTCAAGGTCGCTCACGGACGTCTACAGCAGGCCACACGGTGAAACCTTAGCATCGTCCAGGACAACGCTCTCGAGCGCGCCGCCGTCCATCTGAGCCCAACAGTCGCCGATGTCCGGGTCCAGGGCGCAGTGCCTGGGTCATGGTTGTCTCTATTCGATGAGCAGGAAAAAACTTTTATCGAGAAACCCCTGTGGCCCAGGCACGCGCAGCAAGCGAACCACGGTCGACTTGCCGCTAGCGGTGGCCAAGTTTTCCTCCAGCCGGCCTGCCGGCCTCCCAGTTTTTGAGCAGTGGCCCAGGCTGAATCTGGGCCTCTGGTCCAGCAAAGAAAGCCGCAGTCGGGACAGCCTCCAGGGGGCCTAGGGAGGCCTCTAGGGGGGCCTCAAGCCAGGGTTGCGGCGGGCCTTGTGTTGGCTGTTTTTGGGGTTGTTATTACGAAACAGTCACTAGGCTAGGCGACTGTCGTGCGGTTGGCAGGCTCTGCATGCAGCTCAGCAGAGCCCGCGGTGGTCTCGCTGGCGCTCGACGCGCCCGCCTACCCACAAGAAGGACAGGGGTGGCGGGAAATTTAGGGTTTAGGGTTTTGGGTTTAGGGTTTAGGGCTTAGGGGTTAGGGCTTAGGGTTTAGGGTTTAGGGTTTAGGGTTTAGGGTTTAGGGTTTAGGGTTTAGGGTTTAGGGTTTAGGGTGTGTCAGGGGAGGGCGCGCGCTCGGGTGTGAAACACCCCGGCGTGTCAGGGCCGATAGAGGCCCTTTATTCATGTGAAGGTCAGTGAACCTAGTATTTTTTTTTGCCAATGAGTATTTCAATCGCTAGGGTTTAAGCTGGGGTTCGGGGTAGCCTCGGCCCTTTTCGGGCCTTCGGCACCTTATGGCCCGCAGAGGCCCTTATTTGCTTGAAGGCCTTCGCAGGGTTTTGCGATGTTAGGGTTTAAGCTGGGGTTCGGGGTAGCCTCGGCCCATTTCGGGCCTTCGGCACGTCAGGGCCCGTGATTTGGGGGCTTCCTGGGGCTTTCCCGGTCCTTTTGGGGTGAAATGGAGGGGTGCCCAAAACCATCGATTTCAGTACTAAAAAATAACATTTTTCATTGCGGGCAGGGGTGCCTAAAACCATCGTTTTCAATATTCAAAAATCGCATTTTTCATTGCGGGCACGGACAAATCTTGGGGTCCCCCTTCTTTTTGGGCGCCTTTTGAAGCTTTTGAAGCCTTTTGGTGGCTCTGGCGCCTCTTGGGGGCTTCTGGGCTTTCCTGGCGCTTCTGGTGTAAAATGGAGGGGTGCGCAAAGCGATGGTACGGCCCCCTCACAGGCTCCAGGCCGCCAGGGTCAGGGGGCCCCGGGCAGGGGGGGCCCAGCAAACCCTGAACCCAAAACCCTGAACCACGTTCAGAGGCCAAGGCTCACACTTTGGGGTTATACTTTAGCGACGCTAAAGGTGGTCTGGGTGCCGGCCATCCCTTAGCCGAGTACTGACGTTGTCGTAAAAAAGGCCGATGTCCGTTGGCCTGTCCAGGACAGACGGTGAGGCTTAACCCTCACCTTTCCGTTTCTCTTTTCGCTTGGGCGCTCGGGCTGTAAGGCCCTCGGCCGAGCGTTCGGGGTCTGTCGCTCGACGGAAGCGACCCCTCACTTAGTTTAGGGTTTAGGGTTTAGGGTTTAGGGTTTAGGGTTTAGGGTTTAGGGTTTAGGGTTTAGGGTTTAGGGTTCAGGGTTCAGGGTTCAGGGTTCAGGGTTCAGGGTTCAGGGTTCAAGGGTTCAGGGTTCAGGGTTCAGGGTTCAGGGTTCAGGGTTCAGGGTTCAGGGTTCAGGGTTCAGGGTTTGGGTTTAGGGTTTAGGGTTTAGGGTTTAGGGTTTAGGGTTTGGGGTTTGGGGTTTGGGGTTTGGGGTTTAGGGTTTAGGGTTTAGGGTTTAGGGTTTAGGGTTTAGGGTTTAGGGTTTAGGGTTTAGGCCGGGCGGAACACCGGCTAGGAGGCGAGGAGGTGAGGAGCACTGAGCATGGGTGACTTAAAACCTGACAAGGGTGGGGAGCAAGCAACAAACAAACGAACAAATAAACACGTCGACGCACTTCCTCAGAGATCCTGCAGTACTGGTCGCCTTTGGAGGCAGCGTTGTAGCACGCAAGTGCACAGGATGATGAGATTTGGGCAGCGTTTGCTGTTTGTTCTTTTCAGAGACCTGCCGGCCTGCACCATTACACAGGTGAACCCAGCTGAGCCTGTTCTTTGCAAACTCACAGAGGCATCACCGGACACCAGGGGCCCCGCTTGAAGAGACTCCTCGCATCTGCCCTTACAGGGTAAGGCGTCATTTAGGTGCGTATGGGTGAAATCAGATTCTGCATTGTGCCACGATGAGCCAAAATGAGCCAACATGAGCCAACATGAGCCAACACAAGTCAAAACCCTCGATTCCAAGCCGGATCGCTGTGGGCTCTGAATGGCTCCGAGCTCTGGGTGGCCGACACGTCCACTTCCACGGCAGCAAAAAGCTCCTGGAACAGCAGACTGTGCTTCTCAGCATTCACACCCTCACACCATCCCACACTGAGTCCGCTTCTATGCTTCTGTTGGTCTCGTCTAGTCTCCTGCGCACCTCCTCTAACTCTCGTTGCGAAGCGATGCCAAACAATCAAGCAAAACCGAGGCAAAGGTGGAGTCGGCATGGCTATGCATGGCTTCTTATGGATGCTTCTAATGCGCCTTGTGAAGCTGCACTCCTGTCATTCGACGAGATTCGACGAGATTGCGATGTTCAGGGCTGTTCCTGTTCTCTGCTGGGGGGTCATTTCTGTTTTCGACTCGGATTCAAGGCGTTTACCAAGACTCCTCCTCCTCCTTACACCCGCAGGACTCTTTGCCTCCCCCGCTTTGTGCCGACCAGGACCTGTGCAGCACACGTCCTGTGTGAATTGATTGCAAGTGCATTGCAGTCATGGCGTGTCCTGCAACTCACGCGTGTCCAGCTTGGCCTGAAAGTCCTGCGCCACGATGGAAATCAGTGGAGTCAGCTCCAATGCCAACGTCTGTGCAACTGCCAGAGCCACCCAACCATTGGACAGTGGCCAAGTCAGCAGCTGTTGTGATGTGGCTTTCTAGTTCCAAGCAAGGCTGTTACTTCAACACCTTCGATGCATTCGAACTTCCGCACTGTGAGGAGCACGATGCCTGGGGAGCGCACAATCCAATCAATCGCGCTCACTTCACCCAAATCAGTCTGCTTGAAGAGGTTGAGCACGTGCCGCACCACATACGTGTCCTCTGCGAAACAGAGAGAGGCACACGCGAACAAGATCGAACAAACATCCTGGCAGTCAGGGACGTAGCCAAAGTAGGTCGCATTGCAATGACCTCTGCCCTTCAGCCAAAAGTGCACTTGCCATTGAGACAAGCTGGAATCAAGCATTCCGAGACAAAGGTGCCCAGCGTTAAGCGGAACAAAGTGACGTTCATGAAGATACGCTTCTAGGCTTCGACAGATGTGACAACTTCAATGCAGCTGCACCTCCTCCCGCTGAGCATTCACATGGTCAGGTTACACGAAATTACAGGTATGTAGGAAGCAAACTACACGTAAGTTGTCATGATATGGCTTTGTCTAAGGAGAGGCGTCGTGCACCCAATCCATGGATCAATTGGACAAGATCGAAAAGCTGGCTTGGAGGCTTGAGCAAGAAGTCCCCTTGCACCTGTCCTTGTCATGCTGTGCGTAGGTCTTAGCATTGTCCACAAAAATGCCTCGACAAATGCTGACACAACTCAGGGAACGCTAAAAAGACAGCTTTGCAAGACTCAGCATGACTCACATTGACTCAGCATTCCATCAGCATTCCATCAGCGTTCCATCAGCATTCCTGAGCTCCAGGGCCGGTGATGACGTTCATCATGGCCAGTACAGAAAAAGCAACCTCAGGAGGGCACATGCTCACAGCGGATCACGGTCTCATGGCTACAGTTGCAGCATGTTGCAGCCCAGGTGCATACGCAGAAAAGAACACACCCATAAGTGGAGAGATGTCCTCAATCATTGGCTGCGCAAGGTCCTCACGCCGGGCATGTGATCTTGTTCCTTAAGACCGTCTGCCCTCCCACCCGTGTTCTGACGCATACCGACTTGCACTTGCACTGCTTAGCCAATACTATCCAGATGAAGAAGAGAAGGGCAGTACAAAAAACAGCAAAAGCACGATAATCTGCGACACCTGCCAGTCCATGCCACCGGAGATGCACTCCCAGAGCGCCAAGACGGCCGTACCCAGGCTGCTGAAATACCTGGCTTCTGAGAACCCTTTCTTGCACTATCTTGCGCTGCACTAGCCGGCACCAAATTCTGCCTGTTCAGCTCGGTATCCACCTCGCCATTTTCAGCCCGAAACTCATTTGCCTGGGAGCTTGCCCAAAAAGTATGTTCCAGCATTCCAGCAGGCTGCCGGCGAGTGTGGAACAATGATTTTGGTTGTCATTACCAAGCTAAGTCCAGGATTAAGGCATCGGCCATTTGTGTCATGGCCACAGCGACTGCGTAGATCAGCATGGAGAAAAGCAATGTAGCCCAAAACAGTGGCTTCAAAGATGCCACGATGGAAGAGACCATGGTACCTTGCTGACCATCTGTTGGCTCCAAATCGGAAGTTGCTAGGCGGCAATCAGTCTGCTTAAACCTTCAAGTGTTTGCCTAGTTTGCTCCATCGTACAACCCACAGCTCATGCATCATTGTGCCACCAGGTCACGGAGCTCAACAACCAAGTGAAGAACACGAGCAAGGCGCATGATGCGAACCACGCCTTGAGCTCTCCAATTAACTGTCCTAAATGTGCCTGAGTGGCTTTGGGCAGATTACTTCCTACATATGCATGACATGTGCTGTTTTGAGGCTTCAGGTCATCCGCCAGGTTGTACATCAGTGCAAACACAAGGCCCAGACGCAGTGTTCTGAGAATACGTAGGAAACCAAGGTTCAGCACCTCAAGCAGCAAAGTGCACGGTCCATGACAGCATGACCGGTCGGGGAGAGTCCTCGGAAAAATGGATATTGAACTCCTAGGGTCTTAGGGAAGATTGGGCTAATGATCCGAAATTCTCCCGCTTGCAGAGCGATGTGGGAATCAATTACGGGCACTATTCACACAAGAACAGCACAGCGCTGAGCTGTGTGCGTGGCCCTGGCCAGTACCAGCGGAAATCGCATCAACAACCTGTAGTGGAAATAAAACTAGTTCAAAACCCGGATAGGTCGGGTAAGAATGACATAAATGAACTGTCTGCGACAAACTACGAGAACTCACGGCCTCTTCAGCCCACTGCAGCCCAACCACCAGAAAGTCGAAGATGTTCCACCTGACGGCATCAAAGTGCGCAGGGGAGTGTTGAAGTGGCTTGAAGGAGCAGGGTATACCAATAGCACTCACAGGACTTGCGGTAATCAGATGGGACATCTCCCTTGCCATTAGCCGCACGCACGAGCAGGATTCAGCAAATCAACGATGCACCTTGCTGCACGTGTGGCCCTCTCATGCCTCCTTATGCACTGGCTGTCTTAGTTCACGCAGGAAGAGGGGAAGAGGGCCGAATGTTTTGGAGGCATGGCTGCGGCACTGTTCACTGCTGTGCCCAAACCAGCTGCCTCCAGTCGCTACCCGTGAAGAAGTCCCGGCAGCCAGAAACAACGATCCTCCCAGCTCAACGACGTTAGGCAGCATTCCACCAAGGTTGGTGAGACATTGCATGCATGATGCGCATGCCGAGGTGCTTTGTGAACGTCTACGGCTAGAGCGCAATGCACGCGGATAATTGTAGGTTCGCATGGTCTTGCTCGCAGAACAAGGATGTTTCACAGAATGATGCATACGTACTGATCCTAGACATGCTTTAGTACATCCTTTTCACTCTCACTCTGACTACATGGAAGCTGTTTAAAAAAGCAGATATCTTGTTGATGCCTCCTGCACACACGCACATACTGCGGGTTCATGGGTCGACGATGCTCATCTCAAGCAAAACCTAACCATGGCCTCATGGCCACTTCGGCGGTGAAGACATAGCCTTTCCCAACAAGCGGCGCCGCAATCAAAACTCGCTCGTACCGGATCACAAGACGTCGACCATTTAGCATGGGCGGGGTTGTCGACCGGAAAACCTCTTTTTCCTAGATGCTTTCAAAGGAGACCCTTTACTTCTCCAACTCATCGGAAGCCTCTTCCCTCTGCAAGGCCTCCGAGGAAGCTACTTGTCAATTTGCCCCGCATGTCTGCATTCGCCGTCTTGTTCGTGACGTGGACGGGGAGACGCTTAAAAAGAACATTGTTTTATTGCCTTGTTCTCGCTGGGCCGTGCTGGGCTGATGACCGTGCTCCAGAGAACATTTTGGGCAAAGTTGGTTGATGGTTTTGTGCTATGGATTGTTTGTCTGAATACAACTCCATGGCTCTCGCCTTGGCACGGCGCGCTTTCATTGTCAAGGTGTCTGACATGGGCCCCCCCACTGCAGCCGATGGGAGGACTGGCTAGGGAAGATCCGCCCAACCGAACGTGATGACGATTGCTGGACAGGTCGACCAAAACACCCAGGTTGACCACATGGACCGCGTCAATGCCGCCCAATCCCAGGAGTAGGGGAAAGAGATTGCAATCTCAAGAGGACCCACGGACCTCGCAAAATCTTGCAACCAAGAACTTCATGGCCATGGAGCTCGCTTTCGTGCCTTTCACGGTTGCTGAACCTGCCCCCTTGTGCAACACAGCCTTTATCCGAGCATGATACGCCGATGTCAGCACACTCGGCATGTGAAACGAACAACACGGTATTGGCTGCTTTTGGAACAGGGTGGTATTTAGAGAGGGTGTGTTGGAGCAGGGTGGGGGGCGGGGCGCTTGCGCCAGCATTTTTCTGGTATTGCCCGTTTGATGCTGATTGCTTGCTGACTTGGCGTTCCGCTTGAGAACGTTCTTCGTATACTTTGCATCCTGTGGGAAGGGAGGGCGTGCCTTATCCCCAACAAGTCTGGAGACCCGAGCCCCCGACAAACACCAAACCAACCCCCGACAGACAAAAGACAAGCATCCACGACAAAAACTTTCAAAACCTTTGAGCTTGCAAAACCTCCGAAACTCTCAAAAACACTTGCAAAACCTCCGGAAACTCTCAATAGCACGTGCATTTCGTCGTACTCAGTGGCTCTCCCTCCATGGCCCGCGCCGAGTACTCTGCCTACTTCTCCAAGAGCAAGGCGAGAGCACCAGTGACTTCTCAGGGTGAAAGTTTCAAGCTAGAAGCAACCTGACTTGCACCTTCCCGGAACCAGAGCAAACGACCTCGTTCTCGATATGATGCATACATGCCGAAAACGATCTAGGCGGAAACACAAAACCCTAAACACATAGCGGTTGTGAAGGGGTTTGAACCTCCGACCTCTGGATTCGGAGCTATACCGCCAACCCTTAGGCCACTGAGAGGATTTCCGACCTGCGAGCAGCGCACCTCCCCGGAGCCAACGACCACCGCCCTGCACCTCCCTGGAACCCGAGCCAACGACCACCTCGCCGGAAACAGGGCGAACGACCTCGTTTTCAGCCCCACAAAACCCAAACGATGTACGATTTGTCTCTCTCTTTCCACCTTCGAAGCGAAATTGCACGTCGTTTGCCCTGCGAAGCCCCAAAGAAGCCACCCTACGATCTGGCTCTCTCTTTCCACTTTCGCAGCCAAACAAAGCTCCCAAAAAAGCCTTCAAGGAGCCCCCCGCCCTGCCAGGGCTTCAAACAAGCCCCCCGAAACCCAGACGACGTACGATTTGGCGCTCTATTTGTACATTCGCAGCCAAATTGCACGTCGTTTGCCCTGCAGAGCCCCAAAAAAGACTTTCAGGACACCCCCCCCGTCCGCCCTGAGGCTCCTTTGAGGAGCCACCCCCCCCCTCAAATACGCCCCCAAAACCCAAAGTAAGAAAGGAGTTCTTGTCGTGGGGTTCATGATGACATGTGTCGTGGGTAGTTGGGTTCTTGTCGTGGGTGTTACCAACCTAGTCATGGATAAGGCCCACTCTGGGACTCCCTAACCTGGCAGAAGTGCAACCTCCTACGGCGTTGTTCAACCTCCACCTAAACATACTTAAACCATCAGATGCAAACGGGCAAACAGCATGTGCAAGCAGGCGCACTCCACAAGGTCATCCAAGGGGCAGAATATCTGTCCCAACAGCTTCGAGCCAGGCATTTTGCCGCCGCCTCCGCGCCGAGCCTGTTCTGACAACTGCTCCAGATCTACATCCCTTCTCCGGTGCATATGTCCATCCAAGACTTTCATGCCCACCACAACTTGCCAACAACTTGCACCCGTCTGTGATTGTCAACTGCGACGCTCAGGCTGTCTCTGGGCTGTCACTATTCGGCGCCCGGGCCGTGTAATCTGTCTGGAAACCGATAAGAATGGCGTTCACCATCACCAGCGCAGTGATGACCTTACTTTTTTCATCTACTGGCAACTCTGAGTTTTCGGTGTGTTGGCAAAAACCAACTACAGCGATCGCAATCACACATCCAGGAGGCTGACATATCCGAAGCTGTCAGACTCCATGAAACCTTTGATCCTCAGCTGCGCTGTAAATCTCCAAACGCTTGCTGTCGCGACGATGACAATACAGTTTCAATGCCTTCTTCTGTTATGCTCATGGGGAGCTTGTACGAACAAACATAAAAATACTGTCACTATTATGTTCATGATGCTAAGACTGTTCGCCGCCTCGGTTGTAAGCACCTCCTTCAGTTGAACCACCCTCTTAAGCTGGCGTCGCTGTTGTGCCGGCTTGCTGACAATGGGGTCTCAACAGTTCGACCATGGGGTCTCCCGGAAAGGTGACGGCCCTCACCCGATGCCGTGACGGCACAGGTACAAGGCAAAAAACTATCCCAGGCATCGAACGGCAAGGTAGCAAGAAAACGTAAGGTAGTTGATTTGTTGGAGCATCTTTTGGTACATGATTGTAGATATCTTGAAAAACTTTCTCCCCGAACTTCACTGAGCTCCACTCCTTGGCATGAGGCTCTCTCCTGGCCATCCAGTTTGCCCAGCGCAGCAAAGCTGTCGGCCTCTGCATCAGGAAAGCGACGGAGATTGAATTTTCGCCACAGTTGAATAAAGGCAAGAATTCCCGGTGTAAGAGCTGAGCTCGAAGAGAACGGTGCTTCATTCTCCTGCAGCAAGGACGACGCGCGCAGCTTGTATACTCGCCTGCTCACAAGGAGCAGTTAATATAAGCAACATGCCTGAAGTCATACAAAAACTGAACAAGTGCGTTCTCCAAACATCTTGGGAACTGTATGGAACTGTACTCCTCAAGCCAACTTCTGCCAGGATCTTGCGCAAGCTGCTGCCTGCAAGCTGCTCACTCTCCCATAGTGCTGTCACACGCACTCTCACAAAAGGAACACTACTGTGTCTCCACCAACCTTTCATGGATATATAGACTTTTGGACATGCTACTTTGGTCCTTTCGAGAATACCGCAGTACCACGAGGCTAATTACCTTGACTCAACTGTGTAGTCCATGCCGTCTCTGTCTTGTTGCAATCTTCGACGACCAGACACATTCAATCACCAGCTGGATTTGATCCACACTTCCAGCCTCATCTGCAGGGCACCTATCAAAGGCGACAAATACACAGAACGGACTACAGTGACTACAGCAATCTCTTTCCATGTTGAAGATTCAGGCAGCAAAGATATGCCAACGTCTGTAACGAGCGGCATCGATGATGCAGAAAACTTACGAGCCGCCTTGGTTGTCCTGGCTGGCTACCAAGAGCAAGTCCTGCAAGGCTCTGACTGCATTCAAGACAATGGCACTGTTTTGAAACCGTTCTTCACTCACACATCTCACTGTCACAATGGTTGGGCTTTATTGTGCTTGTCTGACATCATCACAAGGTCACAGGGTGAAGCAGGGAGCAGCGCCTCCTCGCCAGACACCCGAGAGTACTCGCCACGGCTCCGGCTTTGAATCATGGACTCCTTGGCTCGTGAACGTTTACCGACGACATGTCCAGGTCCAGGACTTGCGCTGCAAAGCCGACCATAGCGGATCATAGCCGACCATGCTTAGGGACGTGCCATTGCTGCAGCTGCACTTGTTTCAATGTTTTTCCTGACACAAGTCTCACAAATCTACATGCCAGGAATGGCGCCACTGTTGGCACAACTAACCGCCACTCCTTCGCAATCTTGCTTTCAACAAAGCTTAATGCCCCTTCCAGTCGACACCGTGATGGCGCTGTATCCTCCACTTGCTGCGGTGCACTCAACTCGGGCCTGAAGCCCTTCTTTGTGATCTCAGCCAAGTCCTTGCTCCCAGAAGACATGGATGCAAGCACGTGCAACCGCTTTGACGATTTGATACGGTGACTGCACAATCTCCTCGTCATCGGCGCAATGCTCTGGGCTTGTCAGGTCTGGAGGTCGAGCCAAAGTGTCGGACTCCTTCCTCGCTTTCAAAGCAGAACGGAGCGATGTTCACACGTTTTGCTGCCGAGTTGATAGAGAAGCTGCCCCACACCCCAGTGCCAGATGAGCCAAACCCGTGTCGACATTTGACAGATTCTCTCTAAACGCTGACAAGCCACAGTTCACAACCTCCCCACATCTGAGCTGACATGCAAACTTGACATACAGGCCAGTTTGTAAGTGCCAGTAAGCAGGTGGCAAGCAGTGAAGACGATTCAAGCCCGCACCAGACACAGCAGCGAAATGTTCGTTTGCCCGTGGTGGCATGAAAGCTCGAAACCTTGTCACATTCGGCTTCGCATGGTGTTGCTTACTGTCCTTGTCTTGCCGAGCCATGGAGGTGGCGGCTTGTCCGGCATCCTGAGCTGAGCATATGACACACGGAGCATCAGACGACCAGGCGTGCGTGTTCTGAGTCCTCTGTACTATGTCCAGGTGCAAGAACCAGCGGCATGGTCAAAAGCTCACTGCACATATTGCACACTCGACCTGTGTACTAAGACACCAGCGACAGAACGTCCTGCAACCGCGCACCAATGTCCTGCAACATTCAGATGGTTCAGGCCTCTGTCCTATCACGTACAGTATGCATACTGAAAAAATCAGTATTTTTGCATGGCAGTTTGAACTCATGCTTGAGTCAACAGTTGGAGGTGTCCCCATTGCATTTGTTCTTCCCTTTTGCATGTGCTCCGAACTGTAAGTCAAGGCGGCAGGCTACTCCGAATCTAAGCTTGAGCAGTGGGAAGAAGGACAAAAAAGGAAAGGCAAACACGAAAGCGAGCGTGCGCGGGCTTGCACAGGCTTCACTCCAGAGCCCACCTGGGTGCATAACATCAAACCCACCGGAACCCGCTCTCGGGCCCAACCTGCTACAGCAAGACAAAGCCCAAGCCTCTGGCTTACCCTAGAATTTGGGATTAAGAGCGGTATATTCAGCATTACTGTTTACTTCAACCCTCGAACCGTATGAGTTAACGGGTTAGTTGAAACTTGCAACTTGCATGCGAAGCCAAAGCTCGGATTCCAAGCAATTGCTGGACGGGTTGCAGGTTACATGACTGCCGGTTCTGCCGGTGTGCATCCGTCTTAGGCCCTCTGACTGTGCTATTGTTGTGACTTGTGCACATGCTCGGTGAAGGCCTCAACGACTTGCCTCCGGAAAGCATCCAGCTGCTCCTGTGACAAGATGTGAAGCCATTCAAGATAAGTTGGATGCTTCCTCTAGCAGCTCTGCCAAATGAGGGGTTGGCTTCTGGTGAGAACAAGCATTTAGTAAAATCTAGCTGCTGCATACACACCATTTCCCAACCTGCATCTCCTCTTTGAGATCTAGGCCTTCAGCCCAATCAAGTATGGCATGCTTTTGCACATTACCTAGAGCAAGTGCACCGCAGGAACAGCGCAGTTTGTCTCATGATCAAAGCTCCCGGCGAGTAACAGCTGGGCGACTGCCTTCTGTGGGAGTCTTGGAGCCACACCTGCCACCATCACGCTCGTCACGTACGACGAGATCCGGAAGAAAGCACAACCACGTCTACAAAGGCCCGCCTCATCGTCTAAATCGAGGGGAGCTGAGACCCAGCAGGCACACAACTTGAGTCTCGAAATTGTGCTATGTTGCTGTGTGTTGGCTGCTTGGTTGCTACGTGTTCCCGCGCTTCTCTTGATCGGTCTGCGGCTCACGGCTGTACGCTACATGGTTTATGAAGACCGTATCGAGCCATATGGAACCACGAGCACCACAAGCCTTTTATGACGACATTGTCAAGCTCAAACAAGATCAAACCGCAAAGGCAGCACTGTGTGCATATGCTTCGAGACATCGTCCTGAAGGGTTTACATGTCGCCCAAAAGCACAGAGGCCAGCCCTTGGGATCCCTTGGCCCCCACTCACTTCACGGTGCCGCAGATTAGCCTCATTAGCCTGCTGAAAAACCCTTCCAGTTGCTCGCACAAACTCTCGACGAGAAAGCTCTCTCGCTAGAGCTCTCAAGGCTTCCAAAAGCAAACCGAAGTCCAAAGCAATGTGCATGACAGCCGAGCCTACCAGCACCGAAAGTTCCTAGACATGGAGTGGAACCATACACGGACAGTTGTTTTGCTCTGGCTTGAAGCACCTTCCGAGCAACGTTCCACAACCCTCGAGTGCAAAGAACCGGGGAAGTTTGCAAGTTTTCGAAGTGCAGAGGCGTGGAGGTTGTCGATGCCAACGTCGATGTTAAGAACCTGTTGGGAAGCCTCTCAAATCGAATCAGGATTAAGGAATTTTAAGTAATCAAGTTTACAGGGGTGCACCCAGAACCGATATTGACGCATACCGTAAGATCTTGACAACCTCTCGCAGACATGGCCAAAAAATGCCACGGCGCCATCAGACGCCTCAAGCTCAAGCCGCACTCCGCTGTGGCCTGTGGTGGCGATGCTATCAGCACAGTATTGAAATGTGAGGAGTTGCACTCTAGCTTCATTTCCAATCTGCTCCGGGGAAGAGCCAATGGGCAATGTTTGACTCATGCTCTTCCAACCCTTCAACCTGCAAAACCACACTTTTGCTTTCGCTCAGTGGCACTTTGCGGCTGTACATGGCCATACAGTCTGGACAAAGGCCATCCCGCACAAAGCACTATTAAGCAGAGCAATACGTGTCTGCCAGAACTCTCAGGAAGTCTCTGACCTGAACAGCCAAGAGTTGCCAGTAGCGACAAATAGCGACAGTGAAGCAGCAAAGCCTGGCAAATCCTACCCAGAAGTCTGCTAAGCTCAGGACCAATTGCAGGTCCATGCGCATCAGTTGACGGCGGACGTCCAGCGGCTTATGTTGCCAAAATACGGAGGCCTTCTTGATCCCCTTCCACCATTCTTCCACTCCTTGTTCAAAGGCACTCTCTCGATGATCGATGGGCTTGTGAGCCCAAGCTGGGTGCTGCTTCAATTTGTCCAGCGCATGCAGGCGGCTGACACATAGCTGCTCTTCCACCATTGACTCAATCTCTGCGTTTGAGGTCACGGTCACCAGTGGTGTATTGTAGGAATCAAAGAAATAAATCTTGCAGCGGCCATCTGACACAGGGAACTGATGAAACCAAAACGAACATTGCAAGGTTTTCATTTTAAGACAGCCGTTCTTGAAAACTGACAGAACGATGCTTCTTCTCAAAGCCTCACCCTCACACGCCTGATCTTTGAAGCATATCCTGTCTGGCCACCACTGCGGCGCTGTACCTGCAACACAGCGTGTATGGAAAAAACCTACAAAGCGACATCGTCTTCGGATGTGCGTCCCATTTCAGTCACAACTGGCAGAGGACCAGTGCGTGGCTGCGCCCAGTAGAAAGCCGTGGACCTTGCTTAACTTAAGGTGCCAGTAGACTTGCCGCCAGCAATGCACGCATGCACTCAAGCGTACCACAGCAAACCCGACGAGTTCATGCACATCAATCCGTTTGATCGAGGGGTTACAAAGTGTTGCAAGCAACTGATAGAAGCCTTCCAATATCTGCTGCAAAGTGCTTGTCCACTCGCATGTGAGGGGAACAGCAGCTGCTCCTCGAGCGAAGCAAAGGCAAATGGATGCGCGACCCATGCCATAGCTGTCCATAGCTTCATCGACGATGCACACATGGCGACCTATGTTGGTCTGATATGCTGTGAGACGGCCCGAAAAAGAATCCGGATTCTGCAGGACAGCCTGCTCGGACTCCAGAATACGTAGGTACTGTGCACTTATCGAAAGATGTACCAACCTTTGACTTAGAGAAGAGATGTGAAGAGATTCACCAGAGTCGGAATTCTCAGCTTGGATCTGTAATCTTACACATCACAATTATCTCCTGCAAACTCTCCAGGGAAGAAGCCACGATTATTCGACCAGCAAGCGTGGGGTCGCTGCTGACCAAATGCCTAGGTCACATGAGGGACGGGGGGTTTGTCGGGGATTGGCTTCCGGGGGCGGGCTGAACAAGATAACCACAGCTTCGGCTCTGCTCACACGAAACCCAGCAACCGCTCAACACTTTCTTTCCAATTTGCAAGAATTGAGAACGGGTTTGCTCTGATCTCAGAAGGGGGGACCACCTGCCATTGTTGAAGCGCCACGAGGCACCCACGTGGCTCCATGGACAAGAGCCGCATTGGCAAAACTAAGAAGCACTAAACGGGCGCTCATGGTTTGGCCCTGATGGTGGGGGGGTTGCGCGAGGCAGGGGGTAAGTCGAGGTAGCGTTGCAGCTCCGATATCAAGGAACAATAAGGCCCTCCCCCGCTCTTAACAGTTGATTCTCGCTGACCCAAGAAAAGAAAATGCTGATCAAAGGCTATGCATTGGTGAGCCCGGTTGTGCTTCAAGAGCTTTCGCACTGCATCCCCTCATGCATGGATATGGATGCCGAGGCGCCTCAAATGCACTTCATCCGCAATGCCACCAGTCACCCTACTCCTGCATTGCAGCAACGTGACTCGCAAATCTTCAATCTTCAAGACTTGTTGGGGATGTTTGGGGATGTGCTTACACATCTACGTATATCTACGTAACTCCTCGGCCAGCTGCCGCTGGTCTCACCATGCTGAGCCAGTCGCCTCGGACCGCCAATCAGCTTTCACATGTAGCAGCAATGTAGCATGGATGTCAAACCGTACCAAAAAGCATTGCAGGTCAGTTGGGTTCCAAACAAAGGTCGCACAGAGATGCGTTAACTCACTAGAGAGAAGCTTGGATGAATGACGCCTCGTAATATCCAACAACTTCGACCAGAAACTACTACTTCTTGAACTTTTGTGTAACTCGCATGCCCTTTCCTTCTCATTACAAGCTTTTCCTGGCCCCCTTTTACGGCCAAAACTAGGAAACAAACGGCCGAAGTCTTTCTTAGTCGCCCAGTTTGTGTTGACTGCCTCAATATTGCTCCTGCTCACGAGCAAGCCTCAGTCAGCACAATCTGTACTACCCTGGGCACTGTCTAGAGAAAGCTAAATCGGCTAACTTAAATCTTGTTTCTGGCACATAACCAGAAAATAATTTGAAAATTTCAAGTTGGTCGCCTCTGCCGATCTTTGGAAAAGCTGACCACGTTAACAACCCCGTTGGGTTTTGCGATGCGGGGCCAAAACGAAAAGTCCATGACTTGGTACTATGGAATACCCGTTGGATCTCGAAGGTTGCAGCTCGTTGATGATTGTTGCAGAGTTGGCAGTGAGGCACATGGCATCATGCTGCAAATGCACTGGGGCGTTTTGAGGCACTGCAGGAGCTTGATCTGTTGCGGGAAGCTTGCCTTTCACAGTACCTTGTTCGAGTGCTGTCCTCGTGGTCTAGCTTCAAGGTCGGGTTGGTGCCTTTCAACCAGGACTTCCAAGGCAGGATGTTCAGTTTTGGGTTTGAGGTGTTTTGGGCTTGTGATGAGCTTCCAACCTTTTCTTTAAACGGGGGCTTGCGCGTAGGCGCAGTAGCCAAAAAAATCAAAAAAGATGGAGTCTAATCTCAAAAGTTGCTGTCAAGAAGATGCTTCCGATTATCGGTCAGGGAGTACTAGTCCCGGTCCTCCTTGGAAACTAGATCCCCCCCCCCACTGGCACACTCTCACAAAGGACCATGCGCAAGCGCAGCGCAGTATGCGCAGTCAAGGCAACACCAATGCACTCTCCCTGACTCTCCGTTAATGGCAGCTAAACTTGTGGGGGGTGGATTTGGGACAGTTTAATCAAGCCCCGAATTACCAGCGCGCGCACGCGTGCGAAGGGACCTCCACCGTGAAAAGTATGGTGTCGACATCTGTTAGTTGTGTTGTGAATTGTGAATTCTTCTTTCCTTTTCCTTAACTAAACATGTACAAAACGTAACAAGATGTACAACATCAAGATGCACAACAGATGTGTACAAACCATTGTCTTGTGCTTCGTGTTTTTGCATTTACATGTGTTGGTGTTGTTGTGTTGTTGTGTTGTTGTTGTTGTTGTTGCTGTTGCTGTTGCTGTTGCTGTTGCTGTTGCTGTTGCTGTTGCTGTTGCTGTTGCTGTTGCTGTTGCTGTTGCTGTTGCTGTTGCTGTTGCTGTTGCTGTTGCTGTTGCTGTTGCTGGTGCTGGTGCTGCTGCTGCTGCTGCTGCTGCTGCTGCTGGTGCTGCTGCTGCTGCTGCTGCTGCTGCTGCTGCTGCTGCTGCTGCTGCTGCTGCTGCTGCTGCTGCTGCTGCTGCTGCTGCTGCTGCTGCTGTTGTATCCCCCTCCTCAGAAGCAGCAAAACCGAACCCTCCACCTTGACACCCATGCCTAAGTCCTCGTCTGCTTTGGAGCGTAACCGTCTGTGGGACAGCGCCGTCAGATTAAAGTCGAGAAGGTTTTCTGGAGGAAGGCGTGCAGAATCGCCCGCACTTGAATTGAATCGTCAGCTATTTAACGCGGATTGGCGCTTGAATCACCAACTCTTGAATCGGGAGCGCTTGAGTAATGCAGTGCAGGAACCGCCCCGGTGATTGAATTGAATCTCGAGTGCCCAAATGGCAATGCTTTGAGTCGCGGCCGGCGGACTTTTTCTTAAAAAAAGGAAGCTGGCTGGATTGTCTTCGGCTGGAATGATGAAAAAAATCCGGGCCTTTCAAGAGATGGCTTTGGGATTGGCTTTGCCGTAGCAAGGGTTTGGGGAGGGATGCAGCCTGGCTTGGCTGGGACTTGATATGGCTGGAAGGGTTGAGGGTGGGGCGCAGCGCTTTTTTGCTTTCTTGCGAGGCGAAGCTGGCAAAGCTTTGAAAGTGGCCCAAGTTTGAAAATGGAAAAATGCTTCCGTTCCAAAGCGATTTACTCTCAGCCTGAAATATCAAACATAATATAGTACGGAAACAGAGGCCCAAATTCGCAGGATGGATTGCTTGCGTGGGCTGCAAGATCCGAAGCTTCAAACGCATCGCGCCTGCACAGTTCAAACGACATTGCGGCTTCTTTCAAATAGCCCCAACGTCGTGGGCAGACCTTACCTCGCACATAAAAAATCACATTGATACTCGTCGCACATGACAAAATTGCACGTCGAAAACGTCACAGGCAATGAAGGGAAGGAGGGAAAGTCACAAACGAGCACACTTCGAACTTCGCACAAATTCGTACAAGTTGCTCAATGTCAGAAAGCGCTTGACGCCAGAAACGCTGCTCGTTGTGCAAGACTGAAAAGTCGCCGCAGAGGAGGCAGCCTACATCAGAGACCGTTCGAATCTGTTGCAGCTCTGGACGTAACGCAACCGCAGTCGAGCGGCGCAGATTGAACAGGGCGTGGTGCCCGCAGACTGCATCATGCCACTGGGCCAAACACATGGGCTGCGAAATGCCGCGTGCCTGCCATGCAACAACCTCTAGTTAGGCAGTGAGCGGCTTGACTTTGGCTCAGAAGTAAACAGACTCCAGAACCGCTTAGACTGCACCATCACGGCACCTGGCAGTGATCCACGATTGCCATTCTCCTTGTGCTCTGAAGCAAAACCACAGCAAAATGCAACAAGCCCACGGGCCAAATCTGACAGCAGCTTTCTCCATCATCAGTTGCACTGATTCACGGACTTTACCAATCACTAGCAGTAGCAGCATCTTCCACAGAATCAGAATGGCGACAAGACAGCGGCCACTAGGCTGTGACAAGTCCTTCGCCTTAGAACCGTGATCTGCCCTGGCACTTGCTCGCGCTGTCGCTGTCACATGCTGTCACCCGCATTCTGGCCTTTAAGATGGGACGAATGGCATGAGACATTCTGGTGCGAGGGCCATGATAAATGACCCTGACACTCCCTCCAAGCCGTGCTTGCAGGAACTCTCTGATCCGTGCAAAGCGTCTCATCCGACAAGCTTGAGATGGAGGTCTCCTTCCAAAAGAGTCCATCAGCAAACTGTCCCGAGGTGACCAAACATGGCCAGATTGTTGCAAATAAACGCGGCATACAGAACAGCAACACAGAAGAGCAATAAACAACAGCAGTCCAGAACAGCAGTCCAAAACAGCAGTCCAAAACAGCAGTCCAAGCAGATCGGTTGCTGTCCTCTGAACGAAGAGAGTTGGCAGGGACTGTCTCGGAATCCAGCAAAGACCCATCCACTGCCTTTGCTACATCCGTTTGCTACATCCGTTTCATTATCATCCGTTCTGCAACAGGCCCTGGAAAATCCTGGAAATATGCCAATGACCTCTCAGGTGCAGTCGGAGGAGAACTTGCATTGCCTGAGAAATTTGCACCGGCCAGGATCTGTTCCAGTTGCGACGGCAACACACCTCAATCAGCGAACTGCCCGGCAACATGGTCCCGCATGTTCGAACTCCACTGCAGTTGAGTTCAGATATGTTCAGACACAAGTTTCAAGTTTTACATCCCGAGCGTCTGGAGGGTACCTTGATCTCCAAGCAACGTTCTCGCAGATCCCCATCGACATCCTGCATCACTTCGCGGCTCCGAAAGCCAATTTCCATAACTCCTTCTACTGCCTTACTGCCTTACTCCCTTACTCCAATATCTGTTTTGAGCATCTTGTTAAAGTACCCGACAAGCCAGCTTCCTCCTCAATGCTTTGTCCAAAGTTCCTTTCAAGCTGAACTTCCAAAACCACACCCTGATGTGCCGCTTGAACTTTGTGACTTGAACCGAAAGCCAATCCAAGCCACACCGAGCCCATTCCTGCAAGCCGTTGCAAGCCTCCAAGCGCGTAGTAGTGAGATGAACCCATTCCGGAGGCCACATAGTAAGATCCTTTGACACCTCTGCTCTAACCTGCGACTGGGTCCAATTGCCACATCAAGTAGGATGCAGCTAGCTGCCCTCTTCGCAACTATTTGCTTCCAGAAATAGAGGAAATGCTTTGATTCGGAGTCAGGCAACTACAGCGGTGAGGCCATTGTCGATTTCAACCGTCCACTGCAGTGCGACAGGCGAAAAGAGGCCACTCAGTAGTGCTGCAGCTGCCCTGTCAGTTGATAGAGGTCCTTTGACTTGAGGATCGTGTGTTGGAGCTCCAAGTGCAAAAGCAGCTTCCACACTGAGCTCTGGCATTGTGAGACCCATGCAATCAATCTGGATAAGCCGCAGTGGTGCTGATTAGCTCCAATGCATAGGCAGAGGCTTTCTGGGCCCAGATCTGCGGCAGATTTGCATCCGAACCGAACTCTCAACTGCAAATCCCTGCAGTGGCGCATGAGGCCAAAGGCACACACAAGCATGCCAAAAGGTGTCACTGGTACTGAAAGCTCTGCGAACCGAAGAAAAAACTGTTGTCAAGGATGGCACCTGCGCGAAGCCGAACACGAAGGCGTGTTCGGAGCCTCTGGAGCAAAGAACGAAATCTTGAAAGCACCCAAGGTCTGTTCAAGCATCTTCCGCACTGCAGACCTCACAAAAGACCTGCCTTTCAAGTATCCGCCTCGGGCCGTAGATGTCTGAGGAACGAAGTGGGAGGTTCAGGGCCGTGGCTTTGACATAAGGTTAGAGGTTAGGAACTTCAGGCAATTTAAAGACTAGGGTGTCAGGGTTTAGGTTTTAGGGTTTTTCGCAGAGGTCACTGTCCGAAACCGCCACATGTACTCTGCCCTGCTGGCATTCTGTTATGGAAATCTGCCTCGCAGCCCGCAAACCCTCGTAACGGCCCTTTCCTCCAGGACCAGAAGGGCAGCTCGGGCTTGAACCTGTTAGCAGATTTTTGGGAAATATATTGCCTAACGGACCCCCCCTGAGAAACACCCTGGGAACTCCACAAGCCACCCTGAAACCCCTTTTGGGACCCCTGACCTCTCCTCCCCTTTTTTGAGGCCTTTCCCAAAAACCCTCTTTCCTCCCTTGCTGTCCGTGGGCCGACCCGGCTGCCGAGGAGGCGCGCGCAAGCGTTTACAACTAACTAGGATAACTAGGTTTGCTCCTGATTTTTGCCCTTTTCAGTCAGGGTGCCACACGCCCAAGGAAAGGAGCGGCCACGGCCACTGGCCAAAAAGGAGCTCCATTCGACCATGTGCATCGTCTCAGCAGCACGTTCTTCCAGCACATGAATATGCCCGAAAGGGGAGACATGCTGGCCAGGGTCTCCCGGTCTTCCACAGAGCAAATTCAGCACTTCAGTACACGGATGTGAGATGCGCGCATTGTGACCGTCCCCTCATCCAGGCTTGCACTGGATGCCTTCCTGTGGCAGCTGCTACTAGGAGTTAATGTCAGGTGATTTAAAACAGCTAGTCGGCACAAAGGTACGAGTACAAGTTGTATTTTGCGAGGGGGAAAATCAAAAACACTCAGAAAATCAGACCGAGCCACGACACAGATCGGCATTATGATGAACTGGCACAAACTAAGCAGCTGATAGGCGCTGTAAGTTTCTTGCGAGCCCACCTGCCGCGTAATTTTCCACAAGGGCCCAGCTTTGCTGAGGCAAGCCGATGGTTGTGATGAAAAGAATTCGTCCGACCCAAATCCATTACCGTCAGCTCTGGAGAAGACTCCTGCAGGGAGTGCAGCAACTCGACGAGCACCTTTGCAACGCGCCAAAGAGAACGATCGTTGAAGAGCATGAGGTCTCCCAGTCTCAAACCCCGAAGGCAACAACAACTTGTCCTCTGATCAAGTCTTCCGCCGTGCGCTTCTGCGCAAAAGTTCAAAGATTTGGAATGTCGAACAAGCACGGGGAATGTAGTGTTGCATCTGCCAAAGCCTTCCACAGTTCCAAAGAGTGTTGACCACCTTCTCGTGCAATAAAAGGTTCGGCTGCAGCCGTCCTAGCCATCCCGCCTGTCCTGCGACAGAATCCTGAACGCCCCGAACTAAGGCCAACACTCGCTTCCAGCGGCAGGATACCTGGCATGCGCCTATGGCAGACATCCACGTCAACACATCTGGCTCAAAGCCGTGCAGATGACTGTTGCGCAGCCACAATAATGTGCGGGCCCACCGTACTGACCTTTCGCACGCACTGCCCACAGCATTGTAAGTCACAATGTCCGGGCGCAACGCCTCCAAAATCATTCCCGCCAACACATGCGAACTGATCTTCCACCTTACCAAATTTGCTGATGCAGCAATGGCCGCATTAAACATCGGCACATCAGCGGCAATGCGTGTCTCGCACGATGCCTTACCCAGCGACCCCTCCGCTCACTTACATTCTGTGGCCAGTGTCAATGAACTAGACTTAGTTGCAAAAAGTCATGAAGTACAGCAAATTCACTCTCAGTTGCTTTTAGTTGTCGCACAGCCAGCTGCCATTCGCATGACCTTTCACAGCTTATGAGAACAGCATTCAGAGCAATCGCATTCATGTCCATCTGCATTGTGCTGAGAGACAATGCCATCTGCCAAGCTGTCGCTCTTGCACAGGATTGCATTGCAGCACTCTGTGTAATAACATCAGGCTGCAAATTCTGCTGTAACATTCCATCCAACACATGCAGTGCCTGCGCAAACTTGCTGCACCTGCCACACGTTGTAATGGCAGTGTTGTACGACACAGTGTCAGCTTGCAGGCCGTCGTGTTCATGTGAGGCGTCGAGCATGACCAGTGCTCGCTGCCACTGAGCCAAGCGTGAGAACACAGCCAAAAGGCTGTTTAGTGTAACGACATCTGGCCGCAAGTACCGGTCAGAAATCTCCAATAGAATTGATGAAGCTTCTGGCCATTCAGAGGCTGCCTCAATCATGCTGTTGTATGTGATTAAATCGCCCACGATGTCGCGAGCTTGCAAAGTCGTTAAAATGCATCGCGCCACGGAACCCCACTCACATTTAGCTGCTCGGATGACAGCATTGCCAGCAAAACTTGATGGTTGCCACTGCTTGTGTTTGCTATCAAGAAGATGAATGATGGCCTGCTGCCAGCTGGATGTTCGCTCAAGCGCGTTGATGGCAGAGGTAGCTGCAATCGAATCAATCCGCAGGCTAGTCAAATGGATTTGGCTTGCGACGAAGAGAGCGTTTCGCCACCGCTTTGTCGTCCCACAGGCTGAGATAAAGCTGCTGCATGCCTTCACATCCTGACGTACCCGGCAGGAGGCCGCGCACTGCAGAGCCAGCATGGCCACCTGCCATGCTGCCAGAGTCTTCACGATGGCCCCGACTGTAGAGTTGTAGGTGACCACGTCGGCTTCTAAGCTCTTGCAGTGAAGCTCATCTACAAGTGATACGGCTCTGGTCCAAGCTTGCCTTTTTGTGCCGCATTCCCAGATCGCTTTGTTGTATGTGATGATGCTCACACCATTCATGCACATGCCTTGGCAAAGAACTTGTAAGACCCCTTCGAATTATTCCTGCTCGCGCCCAACTCTGACTTTAGAGTTAGAGCCGGATCCTCTCAGGCAAAAAGCAAAGGACTGACTTCCGTCAACACTATACGTACACACATCTCTTTAACTTTTTCTGTATGCACACATGTGCTTCCCCACCCCGTCTGGTCCGATAGGGGGTAGGCGAGGGCGGCGGGGCCGGTCTGAGGGTCTTAGGATGTCTTAGGGTCATGGGAGGGTTCGGCCGGGGTGTAGGGATTAGGCCCACAGCCCTCAAGCCCTAAGCCCCAAACTTTACGTCAACCCCAGAATAAAACCATATAAGCACAAACACCCTATAAGCCCTAACGACCTAAGCCTGGAAACCCTACGCCCTCAAACCCTAAAACGATGCCAGAGCTCTAAACCAGAAGCCCGAAACCCTTGTCTTCTTCATGTTGCTCAGTATGCTTGTCATCCCGCATTGGCGTCTGCTCACGGATGCAGATGTTGATGACTTGACATTTCGTGATCAGGTAGGGTCTTTTGGTCGAAGCGGCAAAGCACGTGAGGCACTTTGTTCGAGTCTCCCTTTTGTGCGGTCGGGTTGTTTGTCTCGGCTTGCCTCACATACCCGCCGCGTCACCGCAGGTTCTACAAGGAAGCACCTCCGGGCCACGTGACATCGCAAGCGAAGCTTCACACAGCTTAGGTTCCGGATGATTCCTGGTAGTCATGTAATTCAGGTTTTGTCTCGGGAGAACTTTGGATGCTTAGGGCTGGAGATAAACGTGCCAACACTTGTATAAATGATCCATTGACTTTGTGCGTCGAAACACAAGACACACCTCGCCGAAATCCACAGCAATCACCCCTTGAACAGAAGCTGAGATCTGAGCCCCCTGCTTCATGTGTGCAGGGGCTGCGAGAAACCCTCAACCACAGACCACAACAGGTCTCTGTATGGCCTAAAATCCCTCAACTTGCTACGACAAGAAAAACTCAGGTCGGTCGTACATCATGTTTCAAAGATCAACCAGGCACCTCTCACGTACAACACCGACAAGTTCGAAATAGCTAGAAGGCTCAATCAACAAAAGCTGCACCTCGTGCACCTCACATCCTTGCGACGAATCAAAGGGACGACTGTACATTGAAATAATACTGTGCCAGCTGATTCTGTGGTCTGTGTGACTGTATGTGGTCATCGAAAGACACATCCCCGCATGTGAGTAACATGTCTAATCTTTGCACCAAGGGCAGACATACGATAGGCTAATTCATCCATCCGCATGAGCATGGCATCCCAGTGAAAGCTTCACCCTGCTAAGTCATGAACTGCTCACGACACTGAACCTCAATGTGTCAAGCAACGGGGCGGATGAACAAGCAGATCAGGGTCTGAACTGCGTAAGTCAAGTACTGTGCAAGACTTGAGTCCTTCTTGAATCTCCACGAACTACTTGCGAACACATGCAGCAAGTCTTTCCACTTGTGTTTCTTTGCCTACCCGAAAAAGAAAGAAACTATCGTTTCACCAGGAGCGTTGGCTTCCTGTTCCTGATTCGTCTCGGCAAGCAAACTGAGCAACTTCAAGCCTACAGCATGCCTACCTTTTCCCACCTGACATGTCAGCACCACCCTCATTGCTTTTTTCCGCACGCCTTTGGATCTCTTGCAACCAGGCAGAGGGATCAGCGCACTTGCACGGGTGCTCCGGATACTCCGACCTGCTGAGTACACAGCGCAAGTGCAAGAAGCACTGAAGGCTGCAGAGCAACTGAGCAAAATGCCGAGCAAAATTCGGAGCAAAATCTTGAGCAAAATGCTGGGCAGCCAGCTCCGGTGCGACATGCTTCATCTGCAATAGCTGGGGGCCAACCATGGGCCTCCAAGCTGACCGGCTTTTGTCAAACTACAAAGGCTGAGATTCTAAACTGCGCGTGGGAAGAATTTATACTCTTCTGGTCTACGGCAGCCTGCGAGAGCGGAGACGTAGTCGATCTAGATGCTCACACAAGGCCGGAACCTGGTCAGCTGATGTCAGCTGAAAAGCCAAGTCGTTTTTGCCTGTGTCCTGCAATCGAACAGTAGCGCCTGCTTCCCTCATGCGTCAGAGGATGTCAGAGGCATGCTGTAACTTGCGCCCCCGGCTGGAAACTTGAGAGGTTGGTTGACAAATATTTGAGATACCCCACACGCCGAGGCAGAAGAGCTCTGCAGAACGGCCCGGGAAGCTCTGCCCTCTTCCGACTCTGGATCTAGCCAATGGTAGCCTATGGTGGCCTTGTGAACAGCTCGATCTGAGCTTCAGTTTCCCAGATCACTTTGAAATCCCTGAGCTGAAGCCGCGATGCTAGCCATGATGTTGGGCAGGTGTAAGACTTTCAGGTTCCTAGTGTGGCTTTCTGTTCCTCTGCGGAGTGTTGCATGAACAGGAAGACTCGAAGTCTCATGCATCTGCTCGGGCAATCCTGCAGCACTGCTGTGCGCCAGTTTAGCAACTTGGACAGACCTGAATCTGATGAAGCCCCAACATGTGTCGGGTTCGTGGTGTGCACATGCTCTTTTGCCGTGTCTGGAAAGAACGATGCTTGCCACAGATACACGCTGCAATTATCAACATCTTGCTTTGGTGCAGACCTTGTGAAAGCTATGGCTCGCAGACAGCATCTCAACTATCTCGTAGGATCCTTGGCCGGACTGGGCTCGGGGGGGGAAGTCACGGTGTAGCCACAGGGCAGTCACAGCGCCAACCACCCCACTCAAAACCGTATTCTCTGCAACACCACCAGTCTTTGTTGCCAGCATACATGTCATACATCTTGGGGCCTTGGAGAAATGCAAGCTGTCATGAATGAAATAAACGCAAGCTGGACTAGCACACGAAAGCCGTTTCATGCCGATGAGCTGTTGCACCGACCCTTTAATTAAACTTTTGACTCCCAAAACCCTGGACACTAAACCTAACCCCGAACCCCTAACCCTAAACCCCCAAACCCTCAAACCCTAAGAGAGACGAATCAACCGAGTGCCTACGCCCGTCATGCCCATAGCATAATGGAAAGCAAGGTGCCGAGATATTCTTGCATAACATGTCCTGCACTTCGTTATGCAGCCAACATACAGCACATCGCAACACCTTGCAACAGGCTTCTCGGAGTGCTGCATACCTCTGGACACAAACTCAAGAGTTACGGCGAGTCCTCCGCCCTGTCCCCAAAAAACAGGTATCGCATGCTTGCCACAGCGCTGAATCAATTCCTGGACCTGCAGGGAGACAAGTTGTATGCGTCAGCGACCGGCGATTCACAAAGGAAGCACTGACAGAAGGCCTCTGCATCAGCTGCATATATACAGCAAACAGCGTGGTCCTTCTTGATTGCTTGCATCTACTTGCATCCGCATGCATCAGGAATGAACAGTGCATGCGACTGCACAGTAAGCACCTGGCCAGGAAAAGCGGATTTTGTTCGTGATGCAAAAAAAGGCCTGGTTCAGCTGGAGACCGACAACAAATAGTGCGGGTGCTGCAATCTCTGTCGTGCTGTATAATACTGCATGATACAAGTACCTGAAACAAGAGGGCTTGCTGGCCGAGCTGGGACGGGCAACATGATGATAGCCTTTTGATGGCGAAGATACTGAAATGATAATGAGAGGTAGCTGAGGCTCTGAGGTAGCGAGAATGGTGGTGATGGTGGTTGTGAAAATGCCGAGTGTGCAGGACTCCGACGCTTCGTCATGGACCTTCCCCGGAACCCCAAAGATGACCGTGGTATGATGTGGTATGATGTGGTATGTGCCTGGTAGTCCTGGTAGTAGTTGGGATGAGTATGGTGAAGCTTACGAGGCGAAGGAGGCCGATGATGTGCAGTGGAGCATCACAAGCATGGATGGTCACACAAGCTCAGCTCTCCATTACGACCGTTCGCTTGCGAATGCTCTGATGGGCTCTGATGGGGTCTGAGCCCTGGTCAGGTTGCCACTTCCAGGTCTCCCAGCTTCAAGTTCTCTCCTGCAGCGAGCATCGCTTCTGATGAAAGATGCAACGGCAAGCCTCACTTTGCTGAAAATATCGGCGGCTCCCAAATCTCCTCGAGTCAAGCAAAAGCCAGCCACCTTCGAGCCCGGTGGAATCGCTGCCTTCAGCACTGCTTGGGAGGGTCATCAATGATCGCTGCAACGTAGGATGCACAAAACTTGCTGTCCAGCCGAGATATGCTGAGCAGGCCCGCTAGTAGCACTCATGCAAGTAGCCAAAACCACCAATGGCTGCCATTGCAAGCGCCAGCTCCCGCCTCAATGTCATCTCTCGCAAACCATCTTCCAGGATCGGCCTCATTGCGTGAACAAAGCACACGACTGGCTTCTAAACAAAGTGTGTTTGGATTCTTTGGCTCGAAACTCGAGCACAGCATGCATCTGTTGACGGAAACAGGGTTCTGTATAGATGCAACAGGTCTGCAACAACTCGGCAGTGACCCGCGTTCACTTGGGCCCAATGCTGCTGCCATGGCCTGATTTTGCGCCAACGACCTCAGAACATCTCACGAGAGCTTTGGCCCCCGAGAGCTTGGCTCTGCTATGCTTTCCGCACTTCACCGGTGTCACCCAGATGGGCTATCGAGCGGTCTGACACTTTAAGCCATCTCCACCACGCTCGGCATGGACGGCACTGGACACACTCCCTGGATGAGTCAAACCCTGCGGCCTCACTCGAGTTGCACGCCGCTGCTTCGTAACCCGCATCGCAAACGGCGATGCACTGCCACCTGAACGGATCTGAATCGTGAACAGGCCGGACCTAGCCCAGACATTCAGGGATTAGTCAGCTTAGTTACATTAGTAGTGGCCTTCGGCAGCGGATTGGAGAAACTCATGAAGGCGTTCCAGGTAAATACCTGGACACATCTGGCTCTCACGTGACCCGGAAGCCCTAACGGCCTCGCCCCCCCTACCTCCCCCACGCGGGGCAAACCCAGAACCTTAACATCCTAAACCTTTCCCGATTGTATACTTGAGCCTGTAGGGTTTCGAAGGGGCTCAAGTATACAATCGATTTTAAGGTTCTGGGTTTGCCCCGCGTGGGGGAAGGTAGGGTGGATGCAACATTCTGCTGCAACAGAATGACGAGGTTGACAGGTCGTGAACACATTGAACAACAGCAGACAACAAGCAAGCTGACGAAGATACCAGAGGTTACAGGAGGTTGCAAGAAGTTGCAAAAGCTTCAAAGGATCACTTAACTGCATACAAGAATGCCTTCACCGTTGCCAGTGCACCCCATCCAGGAAGCCATTGCAGCATGGAGCTCCTGATTTGGAGTCTTCAAATTTGCCTTTGTGGTCTTTTCTGTGACGAAACATGACTTAACGGCAACCCCTTCTTAAACTCCTTCCCCACATGTTGCCAGGCTAAAATGCGTGCGTATGCATTCCTCAGAACAATGGAAATATCCAAACATGTTGCCTGCACGCGACATTATCTTTGGTAGCTCCTCGGATTTTACGACAATCAAGCGTGCTCGTTGCAAGCAGCGTCGTAAGATGCCAATGGCATTCAAGACCTGCCTCAGGCCGATCAACTCGTGCTTGATCTATGCACATCTGATGGGTTAACAAGTAGTGCAATCACAACTGCGCGATCCGTGTTTCACTCCATCCTGCTCCATTGTACAAGAATGCACGACCAAGGGACACTTTCTGACGATCACCGCCAATATCTAAAAACACCTGCACAGCAGGCACGGCTGTACAGGATAGTACAAGTCCTGATCGTTGAGGCATGGCAGATCATGACAGATTCAGGTTTGGATTTGCGCTTGCACGTCTTCGCAGATGCGTTCACCTTTGGCCTTTGCTTGTTTGGATACTCATGAGATTTCAAGACTCCGTGCTACGGACAATACTGCCAATCAAGTCAACCTCAAAACTTCCTGAACTGCCACTTCCACGAGAAACAATGCCTAAGCAATTAACAGGCCTGTGCAAAAATGGTTTGTCACAGCTTCATGTGTGGCTTGTGCCAATGCGAAATTGGCCTTTGTGCATCGAGCTGCAGCTGGCAGTGCTGCTAAGCGATCTGGCTCTTCAAAAACGTCCTGGTCAAGCAACACGCTTGAGCGTCCAAGGGCCATGTCAAAATATTGGACAGTACTGGCACTGGCAAAAAACAACATCGTTACTTGCCATCTCAGGCACCAGGAATTCAAACTCGGCCCCTGGAACTCGGCGGCGGCTTTCAGCCAGCTGGGCTACAGACACGTCCAACCCAAGTACGTCAGCCGCCCTGCAACACATGTTCTGATGCGCAAATTGCAGCTGCAAGCACATTCCATGTTGCAATGCCAACCTGGTAAATTGCCGACAGGGCCGCATACTGTTCAAGTCCCGACATGCAATCACTCCTCCAAGTTTCATACCACGCCTGGCATGCAGCACCTCAGTGCAATGTCCCAAACTGCTGCCAATTTCAATGATGTGATCCTGCCAACAGGAAGGATTTCATGGTCATGCCGTTGGCCCAAGTGTGACTGCAGCGAAATCAACACATGTGTTTCTAGAAACTTTGTACGGCATAGCCACCAGAACCACACCAGCCCTGCGAACCCACGCAAGCGTTGGAACAGAATTGTGAAAACAGCCACAACGAAACGAATCCTCGGCGGACACAAGGTGACGAGCAAGATTCCTGCCATTGCACCAAATCTGGTGATGTGCTAACAACATCCGTCTGTACTGAGCTCTTGTGTTACCAGCAGAAAGCATCAACCCAACACAGCATTCGTGCCTGTAGTCGGTTGTGGTCGCAACCACTGCAATGGTCGATACGGCTGATGAGCATTGTCTTCGAACCTGACTTGTCACCTGGAACCAAACTGACTTACGACACGACTCTGCCATACAATGACATACTTTCACTCTCACGGAAACGTCAGGCGCCTGATGTGCCACCAGCCAAGCGAAATCGAACTCATCTATATCAGGCCGCATGACGGCTACAACTTCAACATGTGAACATCAACATGGAACAATCAACAACATTTTGTTTCAAAACACGTCACCAAGCCCGTTCAAAGAACATTGTTTTTCACTATGAACCTTTCACCCGCTTCCCTAATTTTAAGGGGCGTCTCGATGGCAAGCCAGAC